TCTTCTCCTTCATCCATCTTCTATCCGCCTCCCCCTTTCTCCCTATTTATTTCAGAACTCCCTTCCCTTCCCCCATTTCTGAAGAAGGGTCTAAACCTGAAACATCATTTTTCCTGCTCCTCTGATGCTGCCTGGCCTGCTGTGTTCATCCAGCTCTCCACCTTGTTGCCTCAGATTCTCCAGCATCAGCAGTTCCTACTGTCTCTGCAACAATTTTGTAAACCACGTTGGTTTTCAACTCTGACGTCTAGAAACAGAAGCTGATTGTTGTTTTCTTCTTCTCTCATGAATTTAATTTCCATGAATACGTTGATGAGGTGTTGGGTCTCTTCTAATTTGTTGCGTTTAATAATGACAAATGTGTCGTCTACATACCGGACCCACAGTTTAGGTTGGAATGCGGGGAAGGGTGGCATGTTCTAGTCTTTGTTTGACTGCTTCTGCAGTGATCCCTGGGATGGGTGACCCCATTGGTGTACCGTTGATCTGTTTGTATATTTGACCATAAAAGACGAAGTGTGTGGTGAGGCACAGGTCTGGTAGTTTAAGTATGTTGTCATTGCAGATGGAGCTGCTGGTCTGTGTTGCTGCTTCCTTTAGTAATGTGGCCACGGTTTCTTTGGCTAGTGGGATGTCAATTGATGTGAATAAAGCCATGACATCAAAAGATACCATAATCGCTGATTCTTATGTTCTTCACAGTATGGAGGAATTCTTTGGTTGAGTGGATGGAATGCGGTGATCCATTGACTAGATGTTTCAGTCTCTGTTGTAGGTCCTTGTGAAGGTGGGGAAACAATGGGTCTGAGGGGGATGTCTAGTTTGTGTACTTTAGGAAGTCCATAGAAGCGGGGGGTATTTGTGCCTTCTGGTTTACAAAATACCATGCAATGACTGCCACAAACATTACATCAGACAGACAGGAAGGAAACTAGCCATCAGAATACATGAACATCAGCAAAACGGCATGACAAACTCTCCTTAATATCGGTACACACAGACAATGAAGGCCATCAGTTTAACTGGGACAAGGTAACCACAGTAGCCCAAGCGAAACATAGACATGCATGGGAATTCCTAGAGGCATGGTTCTCCACCCAGAATGCAATCAACAAACACTTAGAATTGGATGCCATATACAAACTCATACAGATCCAAACCGGAAATGACACTAATCACCGTAATGGACCGGACAGTATAAATTCCAAGTGGAGTAGAATAACATGGTTTCATCGGAGGCTCCACTGATGATGTTACCTAGCATGGTGACAAAATGTCTGAACAAAAACAAGCCAGCTCGGCAAGCAAGTCAATAAGCTTAGTGCTGGATATATGTTTGAAAATGATAAAGTTAAAGGACTACAGAGAAACGGCTAGAGAGTGGGACTAGCTGGGTAGCTGTTTCGAGAGCCGATACATGATGGGTTAAATGATCTCATTGTATAAAGTAAACTTCTATGATGCAATTGTGGTATCAAGGTGCACATGTGCAAAGCATTGGAGGCTTTTATAAGTTCTGAGATGCAAACATCCCCGGCTGGGCCCAGCATTTGTTGCCTGTCCCTAGTTGCTCCCTTGAGAAGGTGGGGGTGAGCTTCCTTCTTGAACCGCTGCAGTCCATGTGCTGTGGGTTGACCCACAATGCCCTTATGGAGGGAATTCCAGGATTCTGACCCAGCGACAGTGAAGGAACGGTGATATATTTCCAAGTCAGGATGGTGAGTGGCTTGGAGGGGAACTTGCAGGGGGTGGTGTTCCCATGTATCTGCTGCCCTTGTCCTTCTAGATGGAAGTGTTGGTGGATTTGGAAGGTGCTGCCTGAGGATCTTTGGTGAGTTTCTGCAGAGCATCTTGTAGATAGTACACACTGCTGCGACTGAGCGTCGGTGGGGGAGGGAGTTGGGACTGAGATTCTTGGCTGACTGCTGGACAGTACCAGGTTGCCAGCTCCCAGGCAAATCAGGACAGCTACACAGTTTATTCAAGCAATGTCTGAATATACAGATAGGGCCTGTCCAATTCAGATTGGTCCAAATGTTTCCTTAACTTTCAATTTACTGGTGTTTACTGAAGATATTGGCTAAAACATTTCATGATTATTTCAGGATTCCGGTTTGGGGAGGAGTCATTATAACTATTGTAGACACCATTGGGTTCCTGTTCCTTGACAAATACGGTATGTTGAATGTTGCTATCTACGGCATTCTGATTTTGATCTTTTTTCTCTTCATTATAGGGCAGCACGGTGGCTAGTGGTTAGCACTGCACCAGGGACCTGGGTTTGATTCCATCCTCAGGCAACTGTCTATCTGGAGTTCATAAATTCTCCCCGTGTTGTATGGTTTTCCCCCGGGTGCTCTGGTTTCCTCCCACAGTCCAAAAATGTGCAGCTTAGAGTGGATTGGCCATGGGAAATTGTCCATAGTGTCCAGGGATGTGCAGTCTAGGTGGATTAGTCATGGGAAATGTAGGGCTACAGGAATGGGGTGGGTCTGGGTGGGATGCTGTTCAGAGGGTCAGTGCAGACTCAATGGGCTGAATGGCCTGCTTCCACAATGTAGGGATTCCACGATCTTTGTTTCTGTGGAACCGACTCTCCTGAAGATTTATTGCTCCCGTCAGATGCCTATGGTTTTGGTCTCCCCACTGAGGAAGGATGTAACTACTTTAGGCGAGGGAGGGAGATGCAGAAAAAGGCTGACTTGTCCAATTTCTGGTTGAAGATGTGATCCCCACAGGAGGAGATTGAGAGCTGAATGGTTAATGTTCTCTGGATTATTGTGTTTGCAATGAATGGATAAAAGTCCTAATAAAGGACTTGAGAGGGAAGATTCCGAGAGGAAATGCCCACGTCCACAGAGTCCGGGGAATAGTTTCAGGGTTTGGTTGAGACGAACGGGAATTTCTTCACTCACTTGGTGGTGAACCTTTGGAATGCTGTATTGCAGAAGCTGGTGGAAGCAGGGTTGAGGTGTAGGTTAAAGGAAGATTGCGACTGATTTTCAAACTCAAAGAGCATGAGTAATTGGGCAGACAGCTGGGATGCAGGTCAAGGTCAGGCACAGTCACCCCTAACATTTTCCAAACTTTCACAGGCCCCCGTACCTGCCCTGGCACCAGACATCACCCCCAGCCAGTGTCTGTTAGAGCCAGGGTAGAGTCAGAAATAGGGCGCAGGCAAGGTGGGGAGAGAGCGTGTGGGGTACGGGAGGGGTGTGTGGAGAAGGTGATGGATTATCCAAATTTTAATCAAACTGATCAGATGTTCTATTACACACCTCTGAAGCAGGTGGGACATGAATGTGGACCTCCTAGCTAAGAGGTATGGACACTACTGCTGCTCCACAAGCACCCCTTGCTGATGGATTATTTTCTGATTCCAGGTCTCAGGAAGTTAGAAGCTTTTTTTGCTGTCCTGATTGCGATTATGGCAATAACATTTGGATATGAGGTAAAGATGGATACAACATTGCTTTACACTAAAAGATGATCATGTAAGCAGCATGCCCCTGCCCAGATTTCAATCCGTACTGAGAGGGTGTCAGTGGGCATCCCAGACCCAAACCCTGACCATGAATCCCAATCAGACTTACCTTCTCAATGGGAATTAGGGGTAAGCAGACAGCAGTGCCCACACATTGGAAAAAACTAAAGAGTTTAAATACAGTTACAGGAGATGGGATGATTTTGGGAGGTGATAGAGAAGCATTGGCCGAATGGTGTTGTTGCTGGACGAGTAATGCAGAGACCCAGGGCATGTTCCAGGATCCCGGGGTCAAGTCCTGTTGCAGAAATTGATGGAATTTGCATTCAATAAAAATATGGAATTAATCTGTCATGATTACAATGAAACTAGTGTCCATTGCCACAAAAACCCATCTGGTTCACTAATGTCCTTAGGGAAGGCTGCCACCCTCACCTGGTCTGGCCTACATGTGACTCCAGACCCACAGCTAGGAGTTGATTCTTAACTGCTCTTTGAAATGCCCCAGTGAAACATTCAGTTGTATCAATTGCTATGAAGTCTCAAAAAGGAAATGAAACTGGACAGACCACCTGGCATTGACCAAGGTAACAACAATGCAGAAACAGACCTGTCAACCATGTAAAGTCAAGCCCTCAATGTCCACCACCAAGAGTAGCTCGGCAGCAGTAATACTGATCGAGCTGGTCGGGCCCTAAAGGACATAGCTACTAGACTGCGTCTGTGGCAGGTGGTGAGGGAACCAACAAGAGGGAAAAACATACTTGGCCTCATCCTTACCAATCTGCCAGCTGCAGTTACATCTGTCCATGACAGTATCGGTAAGAGTGACCATCGCACAGTCCTTGTGGAGACAAAGTCCCGCCTTCACATTGAGAACAACCTCCATCGTGTTGTGTGGCACTATCACCGTGCTAAATGGGACAGACTTCGCGCAGATCTAGCAACTCAAGACTGAGCATCCATGAGGCGCTGTGGGCCATCAACGGCAGCAGGATTGTACTCCAGCACAATCTGTAACCTCATGGCTCCGCATATCCCCCACTCAACCATTACCATCAAACCAGGGGATCAACCCTGGTTCAATGGAGAGTGCAGGAGGGCATGCCAGGACCAGGACCAGGCATACCTGAGGATGAGGTATCAACCTGGTGAAGCCACCAAACAGGACTACTTGCACGCCAAACAGGGAAAGCAGCAAGTGATAAACAGAGCTAAGCGATCCCACAACCAACAGATCAGATCTAAGCTCTGCAGTCCTGCCACATCCAGTCATGAATGGTGGTGGACAATTAAACAACTCACTGGAGGAGGAGGCTCCACAAATATTCCCATCCTATCAATGCATTAGACTTACTGATCAAGGCATTGAATAGCAGACCAGGAAGATTATGATAGAGCTGTACATAACGCTTGTTAGTAAGCTGAGATACTGTGTGCAAAAAGGAAGGATGTGATTGCACTAGATAGGGCTAGAGCAATTCAGCTATGAAGAGGTGGAAGATTGTCCGGGGTTATTTTGTTTAGGGCAGAGAAGTCTGAAGTACGGGAAGAGATGAGGTGAACTTTCTTCAGACAGTTGCTGGTATCTGGGATCCACAGCCTGACAAAATGGTGGGAAAAGATTTGAGAAAATATTTGGACCCATTTAAAGAGTAGTTTTGGAATGGGGGTTTGGTGAGAGAGAGATGAGGTGGCGATAATCCAAAGTCTATTTTTGTTTTCAGAGGGTAAAGACTTGTTTAGTGCAGTATATCCTCGTGTGCTTTGACCATCTCTCTCTCTCTCTATCTGTGTCTCCAGTATGTAGTGGTAAAACCCAATCAGGGTCAAGTAGTGAAGGGTCTATTCTATCCATACTGTGCTGGATGTGGCAGAACAGAACTACTTCAGGCTGTGGGCATCGTTGGAGCAATCATAATGCCCCATAATATCTACCTCCACTCAGCTCTCGTCAAGGTGAGTAACCATATTACAGAGATGGAGCTGGTCAGCATCCGTAATCCTGACCACTGCTCACACCTGTTCATGTCACCTTCTCATTTTACCTAACCACTGTAACTTACTCAATACTTGTGTCATGACAATGAATCAGAATGGCAAAGTGCTATAGATTATGTTTAGTTTTAATTTCAAAATGCCTTTTTTTAAGAAAAGGAACGCTTCTGACAAGAAAAGGACATTGTGGCTGTAAGTTCAGTGCTGTCTGGTGAAGTTTCGTATGGGGCCCATGGAATGTCACATCTGTGGAGTTTCAGGGAATCTTCAAAGAGATGGATGGGGCAGGTAAAGATCATGAGGGCGCTGACTATCAGTCCTCTCTCAGCAGGTGGCCAACTATTGCAGATATTTTCTGTATTTTGAACATAATGGAATATGCAGCAGAGGTTAGAAACTGATTGCTAGCAGCAGAGGGTATGCTAATAGAGAAAGGGCTGCTAGTGAACAGACATCCGTGCGTACTAGTTTAGATTCAAGCGTTAGTGTGCTCTGAAGGTCACAGCTGAAGAACTATCCCTAGTCACCTCTGCATTGTAGGTAAAAGTATTCTTTTGCTCTGTGTGCTAAAAGCCAACTATCCAGAATCTGAATGCTGCCACAAACCATTGTCAAATGGAAACTGGAACAAAGGATTCCAACTCACCTGGAAAACCCTAGAATCCCAAAATCCAACTATTCAACTATCATTGTTCTGTTATCTACTCTTTACAACAAATCCATACAGATAGCCACTCATATCCTTTAGCCTGTAGTTTTTAGCGTTTTTGTTTATTTTTATTCCTAATCTGAGTGTATACCCACAAGTGTGCCAACACATAAAGCCCTTCTAAACTAAAAACCTTTTGCCTCTCCGCAGTCTGTATCCCACGTATGTGTTAACTAATAAACTCACTGTTTTGTTGATTCAAGAAAGCCTGAGTGAATTCGTTCCTTTAAAATATAACTCAATTTGAGCCTGGGAGAACAGTAGCCAAAAAAAGGAAACTTTCTTTCAATTAACTTCATTCCAACCAACCAACAGGATAAAGATGAGGAGCCAGTTCATCTTTCCTCACCCAGGGGCTTAACGATTTTGCAGCATCCCATTTGGAAGTATAACAAATCAGGGAACCCCTGGCAGCTTTAGCTACATTTCTCACACACACATCTCACCAGCTCCTCTTGCTAAATGACCCTGACATGTTTATAAACTTCTTCCTATCATATTACAGCTTGCAGGTTAATTTCTTAGTTATAAATTCATCTCTTTTGCTGAGTTTGTTTCTCCTTCTCAACCTCTTCTCTTCCCCTGAGGTGTGGCGAGCCTTCTAATCAGCCACCCTTAGGCAACCTATACTCCACTTGAAGTTGGGGGTGGGGGTGCGTTATTGGATGGAGTCAAAACCACAACTCCCAACTCTGGAGGCAGAGTATAGACTGTCTAGGGGTAGCTGATGGGAAGACCAACCTCAGTGTTTTGGGACTCCATCCCAGTGTATTGGAAGATCTTTGACCATCTCAGCCCTAGCTTTCATTCCCTCTCAATGTTCTCAATTGTGAAACTAATACAAAGTGTTTTTTTTTTTAAAAATCTCAATTAGTTAATTGCATAATCTGTAATCAGAACAAAGGAAGATAATCCATTAATAGATTCTTTAACCTGCGAACTGTGAATTCAGAACTTTCCTGCTGAAATAATTGTAGTGTTTGGAAATCATCCAAGCATTCCTTAAGTATCAACATTTAAGTAGTAATATTTAAGGGAAATGTCAACAAACAACAATTGAAACTTCTAAAACAGATGCCACAATATCTGGTTCATTAACTACAGCAGCATGGAATTCTATTATATGCAGCTTGTGTTTCTCCATGTTAAAGGCTAGAGATTTAAATAATTTCAGATTATGACAGTTATACAGACCTTTCCACTCTTCCAGAGCCTCTGTCTACTCTACAACTTAATGACTCCCGCAATGGGGTAATGTCATGCAGCAGACTGGGTTTGAAATCAGCCCTGTATTTTTATGGTACTGTGGAGACCTGGTTTCTCTCTTGTGGGAATAGCAACGTCCTCTTTTCCCCTACAGGCAAACATGAGATATCAGAAATGGGGCCAGGCCTTTGGTGTCAGATCCAGGCTGTCATCTTCAATGGTCTGTGGAGTGTTCCTGCTCCAGTGAAAACTTGGCCGGCTGTCCCTGAGATTTCAGACAGAAAGAGGGAGACAGAGAGAGTGAGAGAGAGAGGGAGAGGGAAAGGGAGAAGGGGAGGTTTCACTGAGACACAAAGGGCTGCAGATAAAGTGATTAGAAGAGGGGAGCAAGGAGCCATTGTGTCAACTACCAGGCAAGATGCAGGAGGGAAAACAGACTCTGGGTGAAGAGACACATCCTGTGGAGATCTATTGAATTTAGAAGCATGATCCAGGTGAGGCTGTGGAACTACCACAGTGGGCCTTATTCAGTTCTAGGCTTCTGCAGAGGGTGAGAGAAATATCTTCAGACAGTTACCCGATGATCTGTGGCAGCCTTCCATCTTGTAAAACCATGGTTTGTATCGGAGTGTGAAATGCTACCCGGTGAAGCTCTGGGGGCCAACCTGGAACCATCTTTGTGGCATTTACTGCAGGAAAACATTGCACCGAGAAGGTACACAATTCACTAACCTCTGTTTTCTCTGGGTCGTCTCCATGACCAGCTGAGCTCCTGACCTCTGCTTGCCTCTCCCAATGTCCTTCCAAACTCTCAGCCTCCAGAGGGCACAGCCATCAGCGATGGACTCCTAGTTGTCACTGTCAATGGCCATCTTCATATCTCACTTGGTGTACTTCCAGAGGAGGAATGGACATGCAGGAGGTCATGGCTTAGTGGACTATTGAACAGCTGTCCAATGAACATGGCTAAGACAGGACAGAAGCACAGACATCAATAGCTTATCAATGAGTGTAAGCTGATGGAATGAGTATGCTCCAGGATCTTGAGGTTGGTGACAAGAGCTACTGAAGAAACATCTGAGACAGTGATGGGACTGAAATGGGGACACATCAACTGATTGAAAGCTGGGATCAATGTTAGAATAATTTCTGTAAAAACTGTGGTTTTGCAGAGATCAGACCATGAAGAGTGACTGTGTGGTGGGGTTTATGGTCATATTAAGTGGGACATTCCTTTCTGTCGTCTAATGTATTCATTGTCTGCTAAACAGTGATTATTTGATGTTGGTCTTAGTTTAGTTACTACAGTAAAAGTCTTAAAATTGAAATCTTGGCATGTGAACTGCTGGAAATCCAAACCTGCTGTTTAAAGTTAACGAGGATCTATGGAGATCAGAAAAGAGTCAGATCAGCATTCCTGCCCCTGCTCCCTGTCCAATAACCAGAAATCCAGGTGGCACGGTGGCTCAGTGGTCAGCTCTGCTGTCTCACAGTGCCAGAGACCCGGGTTTGATTCCACCCTCGGGCGGCTGTCTGTGTGGGACTTTGCACATTCTCCCTGTGTCTGTACGGGTTTCCTTCAGGTGCTCCGGTTTCCTCCCACAGTGCAGGCTAGGTGGATTGGCCGTGGGAAATTGTGTGTAGTGTTCAGGGATGTATAGCTCAGATGGTTTATAAGGGGATGGGTCTGGGTGGGATGCTCCAAGGGTTGGTGTGGACTTGTTGGGCCGAAAGGGCCTGTTTCCACACTGTAGGGATTCTATGAAAATTTCTATGAAATTAAAGGAGCAGTCTGGGACCTTGAATGATTCTGTGATCACAATTGTGATGCCCAACCAAGTCAAATAGCCAATTAACCTTCAATGCATAGACTCAAATCTTTGATATTTGTAGGCATCACCAGTAATACAGAGCATGGAGTTATTCACCGATATTAATCAATATCTGTATGATTTCTCTCTTTGTCCCAGAGTAGACACATAGACCGAAGCAAACCATCAGAGGTGAAGGAGGCAAATATGTATTACCTGATCGAGTGCTCCATTGCCCTGTTTGTGTCACTGCTCATCAATATATTTGTTATTGCTGTGTTTGGAGCTGCCTTCTACCAGAAGAGCAATATGGATGTGGTGAGTGAGCAGCAGAATATTACGTTCCAGGCCAACTAGGTAATGCTTTGGACCTGCTGATGTATAATGAGGCAGAGTTGATAAATGATCCTGATAGTAATGAGTTACAGTTTGGTTCTCTTCAATGATTGATGACAAGTAAAAGGATTCTTGAAAGATGAGTAATTATAACATCACAGAATTTCACATTCCATTTGAGGGTGAGAAACTTGAGTCTGAAACTAGTGCCTTAAATATAAATTAAGGCAATGACAAAGATATGAAATCAATGTTCACTATAGAGGACTAGGAAAATAGATTTATAGATAAGATAGGACAGAAATTTTGGCAGTAATTTATGTAGCTATTTTGTAATGTTCAATGGAGATATATGAACTGTTTGTGTTATGAATTATGAAACTTAAGGATAGAATCAAACTCAAAGATACACTTTGCTGCGAGAATTAGTGGAAGGCCAGAAAATTAGATTTAAACACAAGCAAAGTTTGACTAAACAAAAGTGGACAGAATTGATTTATGAGACTAGCTAAGCAAGAAATATAAAAAGAGACCGTATATATAAAGGAAGACAGCAGCTAAAATAAATGTCAGCCATTAAAGGGTGAGGTTGGAGAATTATTAATACAAATCAATTAATGACAGGAATTGAGCAAATAATTTGTATCTGTTGTCATGGCAGAAGATATGAAAAGTGTCCCAAGAATATTAGAAAATCAAAGAGAAAAAGAAAGAAAAACTACAATGTGAAGAAATGGGATTAAAAAGGTGATAGATCCATTGAACATTATGGCCCGCATTCTAGGGCCTTTAAAGTAGTATCTTCAGGGATAGTGGAGGCATTGGCTGTAACCAGCCAAAATTATGGAAAAGATCAAACGTTTTTTATTCATTCAGGGGATGTTGTCTGGGCCAATAGCTATTGCTCTTTGCTAATTACCCTCGAGAAAGTGATGCTGAGCTGCCATCTTGGGTCATTCTAGTCTATTGTGTCTAGGTATGTCCACAGAGCTATTTGAGAAATTGACACAGCAAAGGGCAAAGGCTGGAATGTGGTGGAAGTTGAATCAATTGATGCATTGAGGAGGGTATTGGACAATTATTTAGAATAAAAGCAGGAAACTGGCACTGAGCAACGATGCTCATTTAACAAGCCAGTATAGTAACAATGGGCAGAATGGCCTCCTTCTGCACTGTAAGACTTCTGTGATATATTTCCAAGTCAGGATGATGAATGGATTGGAGGGGAACCTGCATGTGGTGGCGTTCCCATGTACCTTATGCCCTTGTCTTTATAGATGGAGATGATTGTGGGTTTGTCTAAGGAGTCTTGGTGAATGTCTGAAGTTCACCTTGTAAATAGTACACACTGCTGCTACTGAACGTCCGTGGTGGAGGGAGTAAACACAACACAGAACATGGAACAGCACAGCACAGGAACAGGCCCTTCGGCCCACCATGTCTGTGCCGACCATGGTGCTATTCTAAAATAATCCCATCTGCCTGCACATGGTCCATATCCCTCTATATCCTGCCTGTACATCTGTCTAAAAGGCCTCTGAAATGTTGCTATCTTATCTGCTTCTACCACTTCCCCTGATAGCACGTTCCAGCACCTACCACATCTCCTTTAAACATTCCCCCTCTTACCGTAATCCTCTGGCCCCTAGTATTTGACATGCCCACCCTGGGAAAAAAACGCTCTGATTATTCACCCTATCTATGCCTCTCATAAGTTTATATATTTCTATCAAGTTGCCCCCTCAGTCTCCGATGCACTAGCGAAAACAATCCAAGTTTGTCCACCCTCTCCTTATAACTCATACAGTCCATTCCAGGCAATATCCTGGTAAAAATATCCTGAAGAAGGGTCCAGACCCGAAACGTCAGCTTTCCTGCTCCTCTGATGCTGCTTGGCCTGCTGTGTTCATCCAGCTCTACACTTTGTTATCTCAATATCCTGGTAAAGGTATTTTGCACCCTCTCCACATCCTTCCAACAGTGTGACAACCAGAAATGTACACAATACTCTCAATGTGGCCTGACCAAAGCCTTCTCCAGCTGCAACATGACTTGCCAACTTTTATACTCAATGCCCTGGCCAATGAAGGTAAGTATGCCATACACTTTCTTTACCACCTTACCCACTTGTGTTGCCACTTCCAGGGAGCTATGCCCTTGCATGCCAAGATCCCTCTGTATATCAATGCTCCTAAGGGTCCTGCCATTTACTCTATATTTTCCTTTTGCATTTGACTCCCCAGATTGCATCACCTCACACTTCTCCAGATTAAACTCCATCTGCCATTTCTCTGCCCAACTTTCCAGCTGATCTATATCCTGCTGTATCCTTTGCCAACCTTCCTCATTATCCATAACTCCACCAATTTTCATGTCACAGCCTACATTTTCATCATGTGGAAGTGCTGGTGTTAGACTGGAGTGGGCAAGATCAGAAATCACAAGACACCAGGTTATAGTCCAACAGGTCTATTTGAAATCACAAGCTTTCGGAGCCTCTCTCCTTCTTCAGGTGTTAGTGAGAGAGGGGGAGGTGATGGCCTAGTGTTACTATCACTGGACTGTTAACCCAGCGACGCAGATAATGTTCTGGGGATCCGGGTTTGAATCCCACCATGGCAGATGGTGGAATTGAATTCAATAAATATCTGGAATTAAGAATGTAATGATGACTGTGAATTCATTGTCGATTGTCAGGAAAAACCCATCTGGTTCACTAATGTCCTTTAGAGAGGGAAACTGCCATCCTTACTTGGTCTGGCCTACATGTGACTCCAGACCCTCAGCAATGTGGTTGACTCTTAACTGCCCTCTGGACAATTTGGGATGGGCAATAAATGCTGCCTGGCCAGTGACACCCTCATCCTGTGAAAGAATAAAGGGGAAAAATGTTAAAGATCAAAGGGTCACACAACTGATGAGGATGTATTAAACAAACCTAAGATGCTGTTAAATATTTAATCAGTTAGAAGGTTTTAATTGATTAATATGTGTGTGTAAATCCCTGAATTCCTTTGAAGTCACTGTCCTGAGAGAACTAATGGTTTTATCAGTGTAAAGAAGAGGTGGCACTTTAGGCCAGACAATGCATATCAGGTGTAAGGCCTTGTTTGTGTTCTGGTTTGGAGTCAGACTAGTTTTATTTCTAAAGTAGGAATTTATAAAATGCCACATTCACCAACTGTCTATAAATTGTGTGCTTTTTGAACAAAATAGAATCTATCTGCAAATACAAATTCATCCCAGAGATCAGTCCTGTGAAAGGGTCACCACCGGATCCAAAATGTTAACTCTATATTTTTCCTTCACAGATGCTGCCAGACCTGCTGAGCTTTTCCAGCAACTTTGTTTTTGTTCCTGATTTACAGCATCTACAGTTCTTTCAGTTTTCATCCCATAGATTTGTGTGTGTGTGTGTGCTTGTGCGTGAGTGCGTGCGTGCGTGTGTGTGCATGTGCGTGCATGCGTCCGTGTGTGTGTGTGGGTGTGTGTGTGGGTGAGTGTGTGTGTGACGTGAAACCAAGGTCTTGGCTCATATCGCACTACAGGTGACCCCACCACATTATACGGTCTCACACACACACACACACACACACACAGACACACACACACACACACACAGACTCACGCACTTCTCTCTCTCTCTCTCCCTCACACTTGCACACTTTTTCTCTTTCTCTCCCCCCACACACACTCATACACACACACACACACATACTCTCTCCCTTCCTCACACATGCACAGTCCTTCTCCCTCCTTCACATGCACATACACACACACACACATGTATACACACACAACGCACGCACACACACACACATGTAAACCTATGGGCTGAAGTTGTATTTGCAGATATATTCTGTATTTTTACAGATAGTCAGTCAATCTGGTGTTTTATAAATTCCTACTTTAGAAATAAAACCAGTCTGACTCCAAACCAGAACACAAACAGATCCTAAACAAGGCCTCACACCTAACATGCATTGTCCGACCTAAAATGTCACCTCTTCTTTACACTGATAAACCCTTTAATTCTCTCAGGACAGTGACTTCAAAGGAATTTGGGATTTACATACACATAATAATCAATTAAAACCTTCTAACTGATTAAAGATTTAATAGCATCTCAGGTTTGTTTAATTTAATTGTTTAATTTACTTATAAGTTCTGTGTCAGATACTACCTCTCTCACTAACACCTGAAAAAGGAGAGAGGGTCCGAAAGCTTGTGTTTTCAATTAAACATGTTAGATTATAACCTGGTGTCATGTCATTTCTTACATTTTCATTCAAATCATTTAAATATGTTACAGACAACTGAGGTTCCAATACTGATCCTTGTGGAACAGTACTGATCACAGACTTCCAATCAGAAAATAGTCCCCCTACAACTACCCTCTATCTTTTATGGCCAAGCTAATTTTGTATCCAACTTGCCAACTCACTGTGGATTCCATGCAATTTGATCTTCTGGACCAGCCATTTGATGAATTGACAGGGAAAAGTCCATGCCTTACCCTCATCAATCATTTTTGTCTCTGTTGATGTTTGTGGATGTGGTGCCAGTCAAGCAGGTTGCTTTGTCCTGGATGGTGTCAAACTTCTTGAGTGTTGTTGGTGCTGCACCCATCCAGGCAAGTGGAGAGTATTCCATCACACTCCTGACTTGTGGACAGGCTTCGGGGAGTCAGGAGTGAGTTACTTACCGCAGTATTCCAAGCCTCTGACCTGCTCTTGTAGCCACAATATTCACACAGCTAATCAGTTGTAACCCTCAGGATGTTAATAGTTGGGGGTGCTAGGGTTCAGGAATTTTCATGCTGTTGAATGGAAAGGGATTATCGATTCACTTTTATTGGAGATGGTCATTGCCTGGTACTTCTGTAGGTCAAATAATACTTGTCACTTGTCAGCCTAAGCCCAGATATTGTCCAGGTCTTGTTGTGGCATCAAGGAGCCCTGGCAAAACTGGAATCAATGGATATCAGGGGGCAAACTCTCCAGTGGTTGGAGTCATGTCTGGCACATAGAAAGATGGTCGTGTTTGTTGGAGGTCAGTCATCTCAGCTCCAGGACATCTCTGCAGGAGTTCCATAGGGTAGTGTCCCAGGCCCAACCATCTTCAGCTGCTTCATCAATGACCTTCCCTCCATCATAAGGTCAGAAGTGGTGATGTTTTCAAATTTGGTGCATTCCAGATTCTCACCACCCACCGAGTGAAAATGTTTTTTTTCCTCAAATACCGTCTGAAACTCTTGCCCCTTACTCTAAAATTATGCTGCCTCGTGATTGACCCCTCATCCAAGAGGAACAGCTACTCTCTATTCACCCTGCCCATATATCTCATAATCTTGTACACCTCAGTCACCTTCCCCCTCAGCCTTTTCTGCTCTAAAGAAAACAATCCAAGCCTATCTAATCTCCCCTTACAGCTCAATTTCTCCAGCCCAGGCAACATCCTGGTGAACCTCCTCTGTACCCCCTCTCAAGCTATCACATCCTTCCTGTAGTGAGGGGATCAGAACTGCATACAGTACCCAGCTGTGGCCTGACTAATAACCTATACAACTCCAACATTCCCTCCTTGCTCTTATACTCTATGCCATGTCTGATGAAAGCAAGTGTCCCTTATGCCATCTTAATGATCCTAATCACATACTCTGCTGACTTCAGGGACCTGTGAACAATTACTCCATGATCCCTCTATTCCTGTAATTGTTTTGCCATTTGTTAAATACTCCCTCATCTTGGTTCTTCTTCAGAAGTTCATCATCTTGCACTTATCAGGGTAAAATACCATCTGCTACTGGTCTGCCTATCTGACCAACCCATCTATTATCCTGCATTTTGTGTACAGGACATACCTGGACAATTTTCCACATTATTACAAGATACCAGTGTTGTAACTGTGGAACAGCATGGCTAGGGGAGCGGCAAGTTCTGGAAAACAAGTCTTAAGTAGTACTGCAGGAATGTTGTCAGGGCCCGTAGCCTTTGCAGTATCCAGTGTCTCCAACCGTTTCTTGATATCAAGTGGAGTGAATCGAATTGGCTGAACACTGGTATCTGTAATGCTGGGGACCACTGGAGGAGGCCGAGATTTGCTGCAAATGCTTCAGCCTTACCTTTTGCACTGATGTGCTGGGCTCTTCCATCATTGAGGATGGGGATATTTGTGGAGCCTCCTCCTCCAGTGAGTTGTTTAATTGTCCACCACCATTCACGACTGGATGTGGCAGGACTGCAGAGCTTAGATCTGATCCATTGGTTGTGGGATCGCTTAGCTCTGTCTATCACTTGCTGCTTTCACTGTTTGGAATGCAAGTAGTCCTGTGTTATAGCTTCACCAGGTTGACACCTCATTTTTAGGTATGCCTGGTGGAAAATGGAAATCTGCAAATAGAACGTCTCCATTAAAGAAAAGAGACAGAAATCAGAAAACTCTGAGTTAGTCAGCATAACAACTTTCGGAGGGAAAATGTTTAAGCTCCTTGTTAAGAAGATAGTAACAGGGCATTGATACAATCATAAAATAGTCAGGCAAAGTCCACATACAGTTGAAAATTTGTTTAAGTTCTTTGAGGATGTAGCAGTAGGGTGGATAAAGGAAAAACAACAGATGAAGTGCTTCTAAACAAAAACCAAGAGAACTGCGGATGCTCTAAATCAGAAACCAAAACAGAAATTGCTGGAAAAGCTCAGCAGGTCTGGCAGCATGAGGAAGGGTCACTGGACGTGAAACGTTAATTCTGATTTCTTTTCACCGATGTAGTGTTTTGTTCATTCAAAATCTCTTGGGCAGTTCAAAGGAGACCCACCTGGGGTCAGAAGCAAATATAGTTGATCCTAGAAAATGGAAATTGCTCGGTGCACTTAAGGAATTAAGTGATCTTAGTGAAACAGCTGTGTTTTATAAAACTTCCACACCAGAAGTATTTGGTTAGAACTCTGCAGATTTTTAAAAGTCTGAGAAAGTCTAATCTCTAAATTGTCTGAGAGTGGTTAATGGAAAAAAGTCTTGCAGTTTATGAAGATGCAAATGAAAAGAAGTAGGTCTGCCAAACCTGATAAAAAAGAGGAATTTACTTTTACTTCTTGTGTTCAATAAACTTCTGTTTTATTGTTAAAACCAACTCTCCAAGCTGTTGTGTAATGTTTCAATGAAAGATAACCACATTCAATTTAAAAGTAAACAAAGTATGATCTGCCAAACTGGTTTTTAATTTGGGCTCTGAATAGTCCTGTAGTAGCATCAGCTGGGATCATAGCGATCTGTAAAAAAGGAGTCAGCCAGTCTAATCCTACTTTGCAGCACTTGGTCTGGAGCTCTGTCAGTTATTGCTGCATATAGAGACATGCCAGTATTTATTAAATGTGAAGAGACTTTCTGTCTCATCCAACCTTTCATGCAGGGCATTCCTGGTTAGCATCACACTGTGGGTAAAAACATTTCCCCAACTCCTCTCCAATCTTGCCACTAATTAATTTAAATTTTTCTCTCCTTGTTACTGGCCTCTCTCTGCTGAGAGAAATAGTTTTTTCTATATTTCTATCCAGGCCCTTCATGATGACATTTTCACTATAATCTCACCATTTCTTGTTTTCCCGCAGTATAATGTCTGTGCTAGGAGTGGAAGCCCCTACCTCCATGTGCTGCCAAAGGACAATAACACCTTGGAGGTGGATATCTTCAAAGGGGTAAGAAGCAGGACAAGCCATCACTGGGAGAAGATACTTCACAATTGGAACACGTTCACTCGTTACTACCTGTTGCAGAAACAAACTTTATAAACACCACCCTATAATTGCATATTGCAACCCCACCTCCCACTTACTGTTCAGGAAGGTGGTTAGGGTTGTTAGAGATGAAAAGTCTGCACTTGGATTCTATTTGCAAAATTCAAGTGGTGTCTTTATTATGCACGGGGGGAGCCAAGGCTGGACAGTTCAGGTGCCTCTCCACTGAGGCTCAAATGAGCACAGTTAGATATGTTTTCATTATCAGTTACAATTTAATGGTATTAGTCAGGCTTCTGGGGGATTGATAATTGTGGTCCTGTTCAGTGATGACAATGCAGAGATATGGTCTTGTCCTTCAGGAGACGGTAAAGAACATGGGCATATATGACAATACATGGACAATATCCAGGCTTGGGCCAACAAGTGGCAAGTAACTTTCGCGCCACACAAATGCCAGGCTATCACCATCACCAACAATGTAACCACTGCCCCTTGACATTCAATGGTGTTACCATCACTGACTCCCCTACTATCAACATCCTGGGGGTTATCATTGATCAGAAACTCAACTGGATCCACCACATAAACACAAGAGCAGACCAGAGGCTAGGAATCCTGCACTGAGTAACTCACCTACTGGTTCCCCGAAGTCTGTCCCACCGTCTACAAGGTAAAAGTCAGGAGTGGGATGGAATTTGATTGTTCCTCTTTGCTCAAACTCCCTCAAATTTAATTTTCTGGTGAAAACCATCCAACATTAACCCCACCAATACCATTCAAAATTACAATAACAGTTGCTTGATATCTCTCCTTCTGTACCAAATCCTAGTGGGTTCCTGGACATTTCCTCAGAATGTCCTTTGGGAAAATAGCCAAATAAATGGCAGTTTCAGATGGTTCCCTTTCCAGAACAGAACATTTTTTTCATTCATTTGTGGGATATGGGCGTCACTGGCTGGGCCCAGCATTTATTACCTGTCCCTAGTTACCCCTTGAGAAGGTGGGGGTGAGCTGCTTTCTTGAACCACTGCAGTCCATGTGCTGTGGGTTGACCCACAATGCCCTTAGGGATGGAGTGCCAGGATTTTGACCCAGTGACAGTGAAGGAACGGCAATATAATTCCAAGTCGGGATTGTGAGTGACTTGGAGCAGAACTTGCAGGGGGTGGTGTTCCCATGTATCTGCTGCCCTTGTCCTTCTAGATGGAAGTGGTCGTGGGTTTGGAAGGTGCTGTCTGAAGATCTTTGGTGAATTTCTGCAGGTCATCTTGTAGATAGTACACACTGCTGTTACTGAGCGTCAGTGGTGGATGTTTGTGGATGTTTGTGGATGCGGTACCAATCAAGCGGGCTGCTTTCTCCTGGATGGTTACAGGGGAAGGTGCTGTAGGGCTGTGGGGAGGTGTTGGGGATGAAGAAAGTGTGGACCAGGGTGTCCTGAGGGAACAGTCCCTGAGGAAGGCGGACAAGGGAGGGGAGAGAAATATGTGTCTGGTGGTGGCATCTTGCTGAAGGTGGCAGAAATGGCGTCTGATGATCTTCTAGATATGGATGCTGGTGGATGGCAGATAAGGATAAGGGGAACCCTATTGCTGTTGCGGGAGGGAAGAGAAGGGGTGAGGATGGAAGTGCAGGAGATGGGTTGGACCTGGTTGAGGGCCCTATCGACTACAGAGCTGAGGAAACCTCGGTTGAGGAAGAAGGTGGACATTTCGGAGGCTCCCTTGTCAAAGTTGGCCTCATCTGAACATATGCGATGGAGATGGAGGAACTGAGAGAATGGGATGGAGTCTTTACAGGAAGTGGGGTGTGAGGATGTATAGTCCAGGTAGCTGTGGGAGTCAGTGGGTTTGTAATGGATATTAGTCTCCAGTCTATCCCCAGAAATGGAAACAGAAATGTCGAGGAAGGGAAGGGAGAAGTCAGAGATAGACCTGGTGAAAGTGAGGGCAGGATGGAAACGGGAGGCGAAATTGATGAAGTTTTCCAATTCCAGACGAGAGAGAGAAGCAGCACCGATGATATCATCGATGTATCGGAGAAAGAGTTGTGGGTGGGGGCCGGAATAGGACTGGAACAAGGAATGTTCTATGTACCCCATGTAGAGACAGGCATAACTAGGGCCAGTGCGGGTACCCATGGCCCCCCCCTTACCTGAAGAAAATGAGAGGAGTTGAAAGAGAAGTTGTTGAGGGTGAGGACAAGCTCAGCCAAGCGGAGTAGGGTGGTGGTGGATGGGGATGGTTCAGGTCTTTGCTCCAGGAAGAAGGGGAGAACCCTAAGACCCTCCTGGTGGGGAATGGATGTGTAAAGGGATTGCACATCCATGGTAAATAGGAGGCGGCTGGAGCCAGTAAACTGGAAGCTTTGAAACCGGTGTAAGGCATCAGATGAATCATGGATGTATGTGAGTAGGGATTGGACCGGGGGGAGAAGACTGAGTCAAGGTAGCAAGAGATGAGTTCTGTGGGGCATGAGCAGGCTGAAACAATGGGTCTACCCGGACAGTCCTGTTTGTGGATTTTTGGCAGGAGGTAGAAACGAGCTGTGCGGGGTTGGGGGACTATTAGCTTGGAAGCCGATGGGGGGAGATCACCAGATGAAATGAGATCCGTAACCGTAGTGGATACAATGGCCTGATGTGCCATGGTGGGGTCATGGTCCAGGGTAAGGTAGGAGGAGGTATCTGAGAGCTGGTGCTCAGCCTCTGCAAGGTAGAGGTCAGTACGCCAGACTACAACAGCACCAACCTTATCGGCAGGCTTGATGACAAAGTCAGGGTTAGATCTAAGTTTACAGAGTGCAGTCAGTTTGGAGGGAGATAGGTTGGATTTGTTGAGGGGGCAGTGAAATTGAGGTGACTAATGTCACGTCAACAGTTCTCAATGAAAAGATCGAGTGCAGGTAAAAGGCCTGAGGGAGGGGTCCAGGTGGAGGGAGAGTGTTGGGCAAAGGGGTCTGTGGGACGGGGAGTGGACTCGTCCAAAGAAATGAGCACAGAGGTGAAGATGGCAGAAGAACAGTTAGGCGTCATGTCGTGCCCGAAATTCATTAAGGTGGGGACGCAGAGGGATAAAGCTGAGGCCTTTGCTGAGTACGGAGTGTTCAGCATCGGAGAGCAGAAGGTTAGGAGGGATGGTAAATACCCGACAGGAGGTGGGGGTTTGGGGGACGGGATAGAGTCAGAGGGAAGGGGAGGAGAGGTAGGTTCCAGAGGGCCATGGGTATTTTTGAGTTGGTGCATCTTGTGGGCCTTGATGCCTGAAAGGAAAAGAAAAAGTTTGTTGTTAGCACAACGAATGAACTGGAGGATGAAGTGGAACTGGGGAGTGGTGCAGCCCTGAGCCAGCACGTTGCTATGCTGTTGGAGAGAGAGGTTGAGAGTGTGCATGTGACGCCGCATGGCACTGAGTGTGGATCTCAGGATGTGGCGAGAGCAGCTGTCTGTGGAACGTTGAACATCACGGAGATATCTGTGATCCTGGGAGGATTCAAAACATGAGGGATGAAACTTCAGTTGGAATCCACGTGGGGTGGGTCTGAGCCGCAGGCAGTCACTGAGGAATGTGATATGGCTGTGGAAACGAGTTTTAGCAAATACCTGGTCAAACACCAGGAGTGATGGTGAAATTAATGTCGGTGGGCAAGAAGAGAGATTGGAACGGCAATCCCATCGGTGAGAGGAGCAGAACTTCTTCAAGGTGGGCATGCCTGGAAGAGATGTGGCAGTGAGTTAAATACTAAATAAAAACCAAAAGAACTGAGGATGCTGTAAATCAGGAACAAAAACAGAAGTTGCTGGAAAAGCTCAGCAGGTCTGGCAGCATCTGTGAAGGAGAAAACAGAGTTAACATTCTGGGAGGGGAGGGGAATCTACGTTCTGCTCGCAAAAAAGACCCTGAACTACCTGTTGCCTGCCACTTCAATGTACCACCCTGCTCCCTGGCCAACATCTCTGTCTGTAGCTTGCTACAGTGTTCCAGCGAAGCCCAACACAAACTGGAGGAACAACATCTCATTTTCCATTTGGGGACCCTACAGCCCTCCGGACTCAATATTGAGTTCAATAATTTTAGGTCCCAGACCCCCACCCCACACACCAGGCCTTGCTACCACATAGCCTGCCATTACACACCCCCTGTTGTTAGTCACTAACAGTCCCCATTAACAACTACTCACCCTCCCAGCCTGATCATTAGCAACTCCTTTGTCTGTCCAACTGTCTTTCTCTCTCTTTGGGCTCTATCCTATCGTTTACTCCCTACCCCACCCACCTCCCTATTTTCTGCATATAAACTGACATTTTCCCAGCCACCATCAGTTCTGAGGAAGGGTCACCAGACCCGAAATGTTAACTCTGTTTTCTCCTTCACAGATGCTGCCAGACCTGCTGAGCTTTTCCAGCAACTTTGTTTTTGTCCTGGATGGTGTCGAGCTTCTTGAGTGTTGTTGGGACGTACACATCCAGGCAAGTGGGGAGTATTCCATCACACTCCTGACTTGTGCCTTGTAGATGGTGGACAGGCTTTGGGGAGTCAGGAGGTGAGTTACTCACCACAGTATTCCCAGCTTCTGATCTGCTGTTGGAGCCACTGTGTTTATGTGGTGAGTTCAGTTGAGTTTCTGGTCAATAATAACCCCGAGGATGTTGATAGTGGGGGATTCAGTGATGGTAACACCATTGAATGTCAAGGGACGGTGGTTAGATTTTCTCTTCTTGTGTCGGTTATTACATGGCATTTGTGTAGCGTGAGCATTACCTGAAGGATGGTTGCTCTCTACGATTCCCTTAGCCAGTACAATCAACCCATTCTACACAATCTGAGAACAGCATGAATTTACAGCAAAGCAGGATATCCATCGGAACTCTAGTATCACTTGGTCAGAACAATCCCAAAATAATCACACTGCCCCACTATCTCCCCATAGCCATGTGTCAATCCCTAAACTAATCCCACTGCCCTGCTCTCACTCCATAGCCCTGTATCCATCCCAATGGATTTGCCTTATGGTACAGATGTGTCTGCGTTAACATGCTCTTGCTGGAATGTGTCTGTGGGTTTCCAGTGATTGTGCATGTCTTGGTTTGGATTTGCAGGGAGTTGTCCTTGGATGTTATTTTGGATCACTTGCACTCTATATCTGGGCCGTTGGGATTCTAGCTGCAGGTCAAAGTTCAACAATGACGGGTACCTACTCTGGCCAGTTTGTGATGGAGGTAAGTGTAAACTGGTTTCCTTTTGCTCATCAAATCAAAACCGAAGACCTGCCGATGCCGTAAATCAGAAACAAAAACAGAAGTTGATGGAAAAGCTCAGCAGGTCTGGCAGCATTTGTGAAGGAGAAAACAGAGTTAACGTTTCGGGTCCGGTGACCCTTCCTCAGAACTGATGGTAGTTAGGAAAATGTCGGTTTATATGCAGAACATAGGGGGGGGGGGGGGGGAGGTTGTAGGGAACAAACTATAGGTTGGGATAGAACCCAAAGAGAGAAGAGCAGTTGATCAGACAAAGGAGTTGCTAACGATCAGGCTGGGAGGGTGAGTAGTTGTTAATGGGGACTGTTAGTGACTAACAACAGGGGGTGTGTAGTAGCAGGCTATGTGGTTACAAGGCCTGGTGTGTGGGGTGGGGGACTGGGACCTAAAATTATTGAACTCGATATTGAGTCCAGAGGGCTGTAGGGTCCCGAAATGGAAAATGAGGTGTTGTTCCTCCAGCTTGTGTTGGGCTTCACTGGAACACTGCAACAAGCCGGAGACAGAGATGTTGACCAGGGAGCAGGGTGGTGTATTGAAGTGACAGGCAACAGGTAGTTCAGGGTCTTTTTTGTGAGCAGAATGTAGATGTTCTGCGAAGCAGTTGCCCAGTCTACGCTTCGTTTCCCCAGTGTAGAGGAAACCACATTGTGTGCAGCGAATGCAGTAGACTAGATTCTGGGAAGTGCAGGTGGTGTTGCTTCACCTGGAAGGTATGTTTGGGCCCTTGGATACTGGGGAGGGAGGAGGTAAATGTGCAGGTGTTACACCTTTGGCAGTTCTTTTATTCATTCACGGGATGAGGGCATTGCTAGCTAAGCAGCATTTATTGCCCATCTCTCATTGCCCAGAGGGCAATTAAGAATCAACCACATTGCTATGGGTCTGGAGTCACATCTAGACCAGAATTAGTGAATCAGATGGGTTTTTCCAACTATTGACAATACATTCACAGTCATCATTAGATTCGTAATTCCAGATATTTTATTGAATTCAAATTCTGTGGTCCCCAGAACATTACCAAGGTCTCTGGATTAACAGTTCAGTGATAATATCACTAGGCCATCGCCTCCCCTATAGTTGCAGTGGAAGATGCCATGGGGCTTTGGGGAGGGTGTGATTTGGGAGTGAAGGAAGAGTGAATCAGTGTGTCCCAGAGGGACTGTCATTCCTGGTGTCTGACCAGGTATTTGCTAAAACCCATTTCCACAGCCATATTAAAAAGCGAAAGAACTGCAGATGCTGTAAATCAAGAACAAAAACAAAGTTGCTGGAAAAGCTCAGCAGGTCTGGCAGCATCTGTGAAGGAGAAAACAGAGTTAACGTTTCGGGTCCAGTGACCCTTCCTCAGAACTGATGGTGGCTGGGAAAACGTTACATAATATGCAGAAAATAGGGAGGTGGGTGGGGTAGGGAGTAAACGATAGAATAGAGCCCAAAGAGGGAGAAAGACAGTTGGAAGACTAGTCGTTAGCAACTCTTTTGTCTGTCTAGCTGCTTTTCTCTCTCTCTGGGCTCTATCCTATCGTTTACACCCTACCCCACCCACCTCCCTATTTTCTGCATATAAACTGACATTTTCCCAGCCACCACCGGTTCTGAGGAAGGGTCACCGGACCCGAAATGTTAACTCTGTTTTCTCCTTCACAGATGCTGCCAGACCTGCTCAGCTTTTCAAGCAATTTTGTTTTTGTTCCACAGCCACATTGCTTTCCTCAGTGACTGCCTCTGGCTCAGAATCATCCCTTGTGCTTTGAATCCAACCAGGATCACAGGTATCTCTGTGATGTTCAACATTCCACAGACAGCTGCTCTCGCTGCATCCTAAGATCCACACTCAGTGCCATGTGGTGTCACATGCACACTCTCGACCTCTCTCTCCAACAGCATTGCATCACGCTGGCTCAGGGCTGCACCACTCCATAGTTCCAATTCATCCTACAGCTCATTCACTGTGATAACAAGAAACACAACCCATGCACTCCACCTTTTCCAAAACTTCCAATTCCTAAGCCCCCAACACCTCATCTTCACCATGGACATGCACTCCCTGAAGGACTGTATCCCCCATGTAGATGGCCTAAAAGCCCTCCACTTCTTCCTCTCCCGCAGGCCCAACCAGTCCCCCTCCCCGACACCCTCATTTACTTGGCAGAACGGTTCTCATCCTCAATAAGTTTTTCCTTTGATTCCTCCCACTTCCAACAAACCAAAGGGATGGCCATGGGCACCTGCATGTGCCTGGGTTATGCCTGCCTCTTTGTAGGATTTGCGGAACAGTCCCTCTTCCGTACACCGGCACTATCCCTCACCTCTTTCCCCGCTATACTGATGACTGCATCAATGCTGCCTCGTGCTCCCGCTTGGAGCTCGAACAGTTCAACTTCGCCAACACCTTCCACCGAGCCCTCAAATTCACCGGGACTATTTGTGACACCTCCCTCCCCTTCCCGCCTCCATCTCCGGAAACCGACTCTCCACTGACATCCATTTCAAACCCACTGACTCCCACAACTACCTCGACTACACCTCCTTTCACCCACCTTCTGTAAAAATGCTATCCCATACTCTCAATTCCTCTGCCTCCACCATATCTGCTCCCAGGATGAGGTGTTCTACTCTGGGACTTCCCAAATATTCTCCTGCTTTAGAGACTGTAGTTTCCCCTCCTTTGTTATTAAGGATGCCCTCAACCACATCGCCCCCATTTCCCACAATTCTGCCCTCAAACCCTCTGCATCCCCCAACAATAATAAGGATAGAATCCCCCTGGTCCTCACATACCACCCCACCAACCTCCGAATACAAGGCATCTTCCTCTGACATTTTCGCCACCTACAATCAGACCCCACCATCAAAAAGATATTTCCTTCCCCACCCCGTTCCCTTTCCGCAGGGACCGTTCACTCTGTGGCTCCCTCGTCAGCTCCACACTCCCCACCAACCCCTCCACCAAACCCGGTACCTTTCCCTGTAACCGCAGGTGGTGCCAATCCTGCCCCTACAGCTCCCCTCTCACCTCCTTCCAAGACCCCAAACAATCCTCCCAGATCCAGCAGAGATTCACGTGCACTTAATCTAAACTCATCGACTGTATCCATTGCTCCCAATGTGGTCCCCTCTATATCAGGGAGCGGTTCATGGAGCATCTGTGCTCTGCACGCATCAACCAACCAGACCTTCAGGTTGCCATGCACTTTAACTCCCACTCACCCTCCCCCTCCCCCTCCCACTCCCCCTCCCCCTCCCACTCCGACTCCCCTCCCCCTCCCACTCCGCTGGTGACATGTCCATCCTTGGCCTCCTCCACTGTCAGAGTGAGGCCAAACACAAACTGGAGGAACAACACCTGATGATCCACCCCCAACATCCTTCCACAGCCCCACGGCACCTTCCCCTGTAACCGGCGAAGGTGCAACACCTGCCCATTTACCTCCTCCCTCCCCCAGTATCCAAGGCATCAAACATACCTTACAGGTGAAGCAACACTTCACCTACACTTCCCAGAATCTAGTCGACTGCATTCGCTGCTCACAATGTGGTCTCCTCTACATTGGGGAAATGAAGCGTAGACTGGGTGACAGCTTCGCAGAACATCTATGTTCTGCTCGCAAAAAAGGCCCTGAACTTCCAGTTGCCTGCCAGTTTAACATACCACCCTGTTATGTGGGCTACATGTCTGTCTTTGTCTTGCTGCAGTGTTCCAGCGAAGCCCAACGCAAGCTGGAAGAACAACACCTCATTTTCCACTTGGGGACCCTGCAGCCCTCCGGACTCAATATTGAGTTCAGTAATTTTAGGGCCTAAACTCTCCTATGTCCCTGCCCCCTACCCCACACACCAGGCCTTGTTACCACATAGTCTGCCATTACACACTACCTATTGTTAGTCACTAACAGTCCCCATTAACAGCTATTCACCCTCATAGCCAGATTGTTATCAACTCATTTGTCTGATCAACTGTCCTTCTCTGTCTTTGGGCTCTATCCCCAACCTATAGTTTGTTCAGTACCACCTCACCCCACCCTACCTTCTGCATATAAACCAACATTTTCCTAACTACCATCAGCTCTGAGGAAGGGTCACCGGACCCAAAATGTTAACTCTGATTTCTCTCCACGGATGCTGCTAGACCTGCTGAGCTTTTCCAGCAACTTCTGTTTTTGTTCCTTTGCTCATCATTCCAGCTTTAATTCCCAGTACAGTGTGGGCTAGATGCAGCGTGAGAGCCAGGGAGACAGGAGATGGAGAAGGTGTATAAGACTGATTGTTTCAAGAATATAGAAACATACAGGAGGCCATTCAGCCCCTTGAGTCAGTTCACTAGATCATCACCGATCTCTACTTCAAAACCATTTTTTCATACACATTATCAACAAAAATCTCTCAATCTCAGACTTGAGAGTTCCTACTGAACCCCACTATCTACAGTTTTTCTGGGAGAAGCTTCCAGATTTCCACTGCCCTTTGTGTGAGGAGGTGCTTCCTGACATCTTCCCCAAATGGCCTATCTCCGATTTTAAGGTTATAGCCCCTTGTTGCAGTTTGTGTTTAATTTTAATATGTTAGGTTATGTACAATACAGCATGGAGATTGGGTACTGTTGAGTCTGATATGTTGAAGTGAGCAATCCAATTGAGCATAACTTTCTCACCCAGAGTGCTGGCAATCTGGAATGCACTGCCTGAGACAGGAAACCTCACAGCCTTTAAAAAGGATGAGCACCTGGAATGTCATAATATTCAAGGCAATGGGCCTGGTGCAGGAAAGTGGGGATTAGTGTGGATCTAGAATGGTTTTTGTCAGTGCAGACATGATGGGCCAAAGGGCCTCTTCTGTACTGTATGACCTATGAATATCACAGACTTGTGCACATAGTCTGGGTTCTGTTGTTGGTGTTCTTACTGAAGTTATTGTTAAATACATACACGTACCAGACTGACTGCACTGAGAGGAGGTGTTGACAGCTAATTTTATATCAGAATGTCAAATGCTGTAATGTCATGTAGCCACTTTAAAGGTACAGGTCCTGTCAGATCTGGAGTCCCTGTCATAACCAGCACCTATCACGGAGGAAACATTACTCTCTATGGAAGGAATGGAAATAACACACATGGTCAACAGAGGAAAGACTTTGGAGAGATGTGGAGTAAAGGGTTAATTATAAATTCACATTAAATATAACCACTAAGCACATGCAAAATTAGTTTGTCACATCAATGTCCAATCTGAACCACAGAACTATAGCCTGAGTCTGTAGGGTTCAAGAAGTTCTCCTCTTGAATCATCCCTCATTTCTTAGTGTGTTTAATAAAGCCTGGTAATGACCTGTCCGTCTTCTCTCCACCTATCTGCTCCTCTATCCACCTTCCATCATTGCCTTCCCCTCTCTCTATTTATTTCAGAGCCCCCTTCCCCTTCCCCTCCCCCATTTCTGAAGAAGGGTCCAGACCCGGAACATCAGCTTTCCTGTTCCTCTGATGCTGCGTGGCCTGCTGTGTTCCTCCAGCTCCACACCTTGTTATCTCAGACTCCAGCATTGGCAGTTCCTACTATATCTGGTAATGTTCAGCCTTGCTTAATTCACATCACATCCACAAACATCCACTCCCTCCACCACCGACACTCAGTAACAGCAGTGTGTACTATCTACAAGATGCACTGCAGAAATTCACCAATGATCCTCAGGCAGCACCTTCCAAACCCACGACCACTTCCATCTAGAAGGACAAGGGCAGCATATACATGGGAACATCATCCCCTGCAGGTTCCCGTCCAAGTCACTCACCATCCTGACTTGGAAATATATCGTTGTTCTCTCACTGTCGCTGGGTCAAAATTCTGGAATTCCCTCCTTAAGGGCATTGCAGGTCAACCCACAGCACATGGACTGCAGAGGTTCAAGAAGGCAGCTCACCCCCATCTTCTCAAGGGGCAACTAGGGACGGGCAATAAATTCCAACACTTTAAAAATACTCCATTTGCTGCCTAGAGCTCTGAGATGTCTGGTGGATGTGGAAATCACTATTACAACCTCAAACCTTTCTTCTGTAGAGATTCCTTCCTGAAATGTGTGACAATACTATGGCTTTAAGAGGTGTATTTTGTCCTTTTTTTTAACAAAGGAAGGTTGGGACAGAGTTGTGAGCGGTCTGCTCAAAGCCATTCAAGGAAACAGCTTGTGAGGTCTTGGGGTCTTATTTAAAGTTGGAACAACAGAAGCAGCCTGAATGGCTTGGGTCAAGCTCCAGTAGAGCCAGGGTTTTTCAGTTTAGCTTTCAGCATTTGCTGCTGGGGTCTTGAAGATGGATGTAGAAGCTCTTGTTCCTCTCGCTGTTACAGCTAAAAGCTGGGATTCTCTTCTTGCTGTTAGGATTGCATATGAGACAATCTACTTTACTGAATTTGCCTTTGCCAAGGGTGTGTTTATGGGATGTTAATATATATATATTATTTTGTTAAGCTTTTCAACAGTTACAGTTAAGCCATTTTTAAAAAAAGTTTTATCTGTATTTTAACTGTGGTGTAAAAATAAAGTATGTTTTGCTGCAAGTCGAGTAGTTTGACCAATCAAATTGCATCTGGAACACAATGCTTTACACCTGCCTTTAACAGAAGAAAAAGTTAGAGTCTAGGCTATCTTCTGAATATAGTTTGAGGAGGTTTGGTCTGGTCTGTGACAAGTGACTGACTATTGCCTGGTCTGAGTAGATTTGGATCGTTACAGTGCTAATATTCGCTTTTCTATCTATTCACACTCAGGGCTTTCTCAACCTGTCTTGGACGCGATTTAAGCGAGTGACTCTAACGCGATCATTGGCGATCATTCCTACGTTGCTAGTAGCAGTGTTTCAGGACATGTCCAGCCTGTCGAACATGAATGATATTCTCAACGTCTTGCAGAGTATTCTGGTGAGTGTGGATGAGGTGTCCTGTTGGATCTGGCTGATCAGCTCACAACAGCAGCTCAATGAATTATTATGGAATATGAGGCTGGTCCCATTACCATTCCACAACCTGTGTACACACACAAACATGCAAAAGAATTATATCACTCAAACTTGATCCAGGATAGCATTAATACCCTAAACACAGCACCAAGCTGCTGTAAACATCGTCCCCCGCACACACACTGACCCTGCACACACACCGTACCCCCTGCACACACACCGTCCCCCGCACACACACCCCCCCCCGCACACACACCGTCCCCCGCACACACACCGTCCCCCCTGCACACACCCCGTCCCCTGCACACACACTGTCCCCCGCACACACAGTCCCCCGCACACACAGTCCCTCGCACACACACCATCCCCTGCACACACCATCCCCCCCGCACATACACCGTCCCCCGCAGACACACTGTCCCCCGTACACGCACCGTCCCCCACACACACCATCCCCCGTACACCCCGTCCCTCGCACACGCACACATCGCCCCCCGCGCCCACACTGTCCCCCGCGCACACACTGTCCCCTGCCTTGGGCACAGTTTGCTGATCTACAGCTTATTCTCTTACTTGTCCATGGGATGTGGGCATCGGTGGCTGCACCAGGAGTTATAGCCCATCCCCAAGGGCAACTGACAATCAACCACAAGGGGGATCTCTGCTCAAGTTTTTTTTGGAGCAATGTGATTTAGAATCTTCCTACCAGCTTCCTGTAAGGCTTGAGGGAGCCTTAGTTTAACATCCAACTTGAAGAAAAACCAAAAGAACTGAGGATGCTGTAAATCAGGAACAAAAACAAAGTTGATGGAAAAGCTCAGCAGGTCTGGCAGCATCTGTGAAGAAAAAAACAGAGTTAACATTTCGGGTCCGGTGACCATTCCTCAGAACTGGACCCAAAATGTTAACTCTGTTTTCTCCTTCACAGATGCTGCCAGACCTGCTGAGTTTTCCAGCAACTTTGTTTTTGATCCAACTTGAAGAGCTCAGGTCAGGGGCCTGTGACAATGTGACACTCCGTCAGGACTGCACCGAATTTAAAGATTTGAGCTGAAGCTACAAAATGGAATTTGAACTATCTTCTGCCTTAGGTGAAAGTGCTAATTACTATCAGAAATGCTGCAGCCAATTAGAGTCATAAAGTCCATAGAGCTGTACAGCATGGAAGCAGACCCTTCGGTTCAACTCGTCCATGCTGACCCAGATATTCTAAATAAATCTAGTCTAATTTGCCAGAATTTGGCCCATATCCCTCTAAACCCTTCCTATTCATGTACCCTTTTAAATGTTGTAATTGTCCCAGCCTCCACCACTTTCTCTGGCAGCTCATTCCATACACGCACCACCCTAACTTGAAAAAGTTACCCCTTAGATCCCTGTTAAATCTTTCCCCTCTCACTTTAAACCTATGCTCCTCTAGTTTTGGACTCCCCCCACACCAGGGAAAAAGACCTTGTCTATTCACCCTATCCATGGCCCTCGTGATTTTACAAACCTCTATAAGATCACAGCATGATATGACAACCAGATTGTTTGGCTCAAATGGTTTTTATTGAAACATGTACATTGGGGAGAACAGCGCTACACTTTTCCAAAACAGTGCCAAGGATTCCTTTTTAATATATATATCCACCTAAGAACCTTCTTTTTAATTGCAGAATTGCTGCAGTACAGGAGGCCATTCAGCCTAGCTGCTCTAATTCTGTTATTAGTGCCAAGCTCATGCCTGTTCTCTGTATCACTACACACCATACAAGTAACCACCCAAAGCCCTCATCAATGTCTCAATTGAACCAGCCTCCACTCCATTTCCAGGCAGTGCATTCCATACTCGCTGGGTGAAAAGCTTTCCTTTCACATCATCTTTGCTTCATTTGCACGTCATTTTAAATGTATTCCCCCTCGTTCCTGTTCCTTTTATCAGGGGAACGACGTCTAAATATCAATCTTATCCAACATATTCATGAGGTTGAAAGTCCCTGTCAAATCTCTCCTCAGCCTTCTTCTTTCTAAGGAGAAGAGTCCCAACTTCTTCAATCTATCCTCATCTGACAGACACATTGATGAATGCAGCATTCGCTCTATACCACCCTAAAAGGTCTAAAGGTCTATCAAAACGCATAATTGGTTTTAAGAACTGCACCTTTGCTTCATTCTGAGAATATACAGGATGGGGGTGCTGAAGGCCTAACAGTATTATCACTAGACTAGTAATCTAGAGGCAAGGGTAATTGTTCTGTGATCCTGGGTTCAAATCCCAATGAAACTTGGTGGAATTTGAATTCCGTAAGAATCTGGAGTTAAAAGCCTAATGATGACCATGAATCCATTGCTGTTTGTTGGAAAAACCCATCTGGTTCATTAATGTCCTTTAGGGAAGGAAACTGCCATCCTTACCTGGTCTGGTCTACATGTGACTCCAGACACATAGCAATGTGGTTGACTCTTAACTGCCCTCTGGGCAATTAGGGAT